CCCAATCCATCGGACAACAAAATTTGAAAAATGTCCTTTTTATACAGGCCTGAAGCTGTACAACCATTTGCCGAATAAATTTAAACAATTGGCAGTAAATGTTTTTAAAGTTAAAATTAAAGAAATTCTACTGGATAAGGTTTATTATTCCATCTCAGACTTTTTAGCAGACACCTCCTTGGGTTAGTCATTGTACATTTTTATTGTTATTGAAATCTTCTATGTTTTATGTAAAATGTTTTTTCCATTGTATTTTATTATTAAGATTTATGTAATTGACAAGACACCAGTTACTGCTATAAGCACCCAATGTAACGTTATTTGTGTCAATAAATTGATTTGATTTGATTTGATATTGTTTATTAAGGTTAGCTTAGATATCTGGGGTATTAGAAACAGTTTCAATTCATATAAGATATTCACAGTACAATAATAGGAAGATAAGAAAATCTTAATTTGCCACGGAAATGTTAAGGTCACATTATAAATAGCACAACTCAATACATCTGTTAACAGTTGCACTTAGTAAAGTGTAGCATCCATCATAGTGCGTCTTATCATATCTCAACTCATTTATTTGGCTTGCTTTGAACTATCTGAAAGACGCTACAAGGTGATAATTATCATAAAAACACATAAACAATGATTGCATTACAACTCGACCTATAAAGATGAAAGAAAGTTTAAAGCAAAAATGTAAGCTAAGTACAAAAAAATCTCTATATCATTGTTTAACAGTTTACTGATAGTTTTTGGATTTATATTTGACAGGAAATTCCATTCAAAGGCCTAATCATCCTTAAATCACATGCACTACAATGCATAACCTTGAATTTTTCAATAGTAGTCCTGCCATACAAAAATCTAGAATTAATTCCAACAAATGGGACTTTATAACTGATGGAAGGAAGGTTTGAAGGATGTCAAGTGCTCGTTACAAGGTGGTCCAAACTTACCAAATCATCACAACCAGTCAATGACTTGTATCTGCTCCATAATTGGCAACCGTGTCACAATTGATGTGCTAAGGACCTTAATAAGCAAAGAGACATGAAGGATCAGCTCCAAACATGATTGGACGAGATAGAATGTATCAGTTCAAACTATAATATTAGCTCCAACCATACTATCAGCTACAACCATAATAGTCAGAGACTGATCAGCTCCAAATATGGATCAGTTATAATTACAAAATCAACTCTAACTGTAATATCAGTTATATCAGTGTCTCAAATCCAGACAGAATATCAGTACTAACCATAATATTAGATCTAACCACAGTATCAGCTCCAAACACAATATCAGAACCAACCACAATATCAGTTACAACCATAATATCAGCTCCAAACACAATATCAGCTCCAACCATAATATCGGTCCAAACACAGTATCAGTTACAGCCACAATATCAGCCCCAGCCATAATATCAGCCCCAACCATAATATCAGCTCCAACCATAATATGAGCTCCAATCATAAATTAGTTCCTACCATAATAACAGCTCCAATCATAAATCAGCTCCTATCATAATATCAGCTCCAACCACAATTTCAGTTACAACCAAAATATCATTTCCAAACATATGAGTCATAATTGGCACAGATAGGATTTATCAGCTGTCACCACAATATTAGCTCCAACTATGTTATCAAATCCAACCATAATACCAGCTCAAATTATAATAGACATAATATATTTCAGCTACAACCATAATAGACAATAAAGACAGGCACTTCTGCTCCAACACAATAAATTAAATCAAGAGAAATAATCCAACAATGATGCAATGACTCATTCCAGGCCAGTACTGAAGGTTAACAAACAAAAACAGAGCATTGGTGTTATGTGGGGAAACAAAATTTACAATCTTGATAGAGCCGCTAATAAACCTTGACATACAGCCTCTCCCATGTAATCTTCCAGCTTGATTCAACATTTGCAATTCATTGAGTGCAATGTCGTGTTGCTTATCAATAACTTTTCCAAATACAAATTCAAATATTCAATTACATACATTAGCGGTGAATGAATTTTAAATATGTTTAGTGTCTCCCTTAGGAAGGACTGTGAAGGTGTTTTGAAAATAATTCTGCATCAAGGAGATTCTGAGATTATTAGTTTTATGGTCTGTAAACAGTTTTTACAGATAATAAATTGCTTTAAAAAACTTTGATTAGTTATGGTGATTCTTAGCTTGGTAAATGAAACTTTTCTAGCTTCGAGACCGAAATAGTTAAGTTTGGGAAAAAAAGATGGACCCTTAAGAAAGTAATGTGAGCTTCAATATACCATTAATCTTGTGGGTTTATATTTTAATGATTGCTTAAATTTATGTCGATATCCTAATTTTCAGTCAGTTTTAATGCAAATAATTACATCTGACGATAACCACACTCAAGAATCAACTTATAACATTTTAGACAATCCAGAATTGATTGTGTATTTCCTCAAGAATTTCATAAAATTACATAGTCTCAAAAACAAATTGTATTCATCAAACGCAACCAAAATAAATATTATTAACATTGATACCAGATGCCTAAAATTAAAAACTTCTAAGTTTTAACCTTAGATTCACTGATTAATCAACGATTACAAGAAAATAAAAATTTTCAGAAACACTGACTGAAAATGCCAATAAACCCAGCTACACTCTTAAAATCTGTTCCATTAGTCCCTTGCATAAACACAACCAACCAACAAACTCATCTCCTAAAATAGCTTCAAAGATGTATTGCTTTTGTTCCAATACAATTTGCAATAACTCTGTTCCTACTAACTAGCTTATACTATTGTATATTCCGGCTGAGTTTCTGAATGTATTTTTAAAATCTTCTCATCTCATAAAATTTAATTGAAATTTAATCAAGAATAAGTGGCAAAGATTAGAATTTCCATTCCTTGAAACTTAAATAAAACAACATAAATTGCCATAATCACCTGTTTAGTTATCAGCTGAGAAATATCAACAATCGACAAATAGATACCCATAGACACATAGACTATTGATGCATGTATTGATACTGTCACTAATAAAACACACAAGAAAAAGAAACTTGCCGACAATAAGTGAAGATACGAATCTTGCTCATACAATTGTCTTCACGCAAATCATGCAAATAAGGTTTCGCCTTGCAAGACTTTTGAATTTTCATTGCTTATAACTAACACTTAATGCTAGTGTGATTCTGATGAATAACAATAACCTGTTTATTGCGTCTGATGTCCACACTTTGATTGAAAGGTATTGGAGAATGGTGTTGAATAAGTGATGAATTCAATTGTATACAGAATGATCATTTAAATATTCAGTAAAGAAAAATGTTGTTTTTAGCGAATTTCCCTATAGGGAAGAACTTATTACAAGGTGGCACAGTAAGACCGTGACCCAAGATTGATTTACTTTTTCAATTTAATGTCCCCAGAGGCCAAAAACACTATATGTATTTTTTGTACATAAATACAGAGCAATTTTGTACAATTTTGATGAAATTTGACATGATTGTGTGGGGCCTAGATACACTTGAATGAGTTTGCAAACCAGCAATATCAAATCATGGGGGTTTTATATTGTTCAAAATTTTGTTTATCAAATGTTCATCCTTAAACATGAAAATGCCTAATTATCATTGCATCCAAAGTGTAGAGCTTAAAAAACTAATAGTTTTGTATGTTGAAGCGTTGTTGTACAATTACATGTTGCAGAGAAAATTTTAAAATAACTGTACATTTATAAATATCATAAAATTATTCTTATAGAGAAAAAGTAAACTGTCGCTGGTTTATAAATATATTTTGATCAAATCTGGCAAACTTACTCATTCCATACAATACTATTAATATTTTCCATAAAAAATACTTTTTTACTTCCCTGTAGCAGGCCCCCTTAGTGCTTGTTAAACCTAATGTTCTTTAAATAGGGAATCAATCTCTATCATGATCAAGAACAAATTTTACTTAAAATCCAATCAGACAAATGGAAAGTCTGTAGGTTTACTACGACTGGTGTATTGTATCCTAGAAAAACAAAAACAGTGGAAACCAGATTCAGTATGAAGTAGATTTGGTGACGTTCAGCAAAACATCTGCTAGTATTTAGCGATGAAAGACGACTTTGAGCAGTTCCAGCCATGACCCTAGCCAACAAGTGGTATCAATAGCTTACGACTTTCCGAGTGTGTAAATGTCACGTAAATCATCACCAGTCCGTAAACACACTACCCTACTTCTACTCCGTGCTTCACTCCACAAGATAAGACGCAAGACACACTTGAAGTCTGACCGTGAATTCCACAGGTGTACGGTTGAAACTTGTGTTTACGCTTGTATACACGTAACAGTGAGCAGTTAGTAGTTTGCTTCTTTTCTTTTAGCAAATTTCCCATGATATAGTGAATAAGCTATTATTTTAGGTAGGCCTAAAATGGTAAGACCTAGACCCACAACCAATTTTTTTCAATGTCCACAAAGGATAAAAACAAAATTTCAAAATTGTAATTGTCCTTAGGCGTACCACAGACAAGGGAATTCTTAGCGTTTGACATTGTAAGATATTCTATTTATATCTATAAAACAAAATCTTATGAGGTTGACAGTGCAGATTATCCTTGCTATGATGAGAATGAAAAAGCCAATAGATGATTTAGGCAGTGTTGTTTAAAACAACATTTAAAAATCCCATGTAGAATTCTAAAACTATCATAGTGTACTTATTTCTGGACATATATTAATTAAATTTGACAATATTATTCATTTCATACATAGCTATTAACATTACACTCACTAGTAACACACTTTACTAACTTCCCTGATTAAACCTAGCTACTCATTTAAATATATCCGTATTCAAACAGGAATGAATCTGACTCGGAAATACTTCAGTAGAGATCTAATCAAATGGATATTTCTGTAGCAGGATTGCTTCGGCAGACTTAAGTTGTGTTTTAGCTACATAAGTCGTGTTATTTTAATCAGAATGTTTATGGTTCGCTCTGTTGCAGCCATCAGCGTAGACGGGATGGACCGAAGGAAGTACCAATGTCCAGATAACTTTGTCCGTGTGGCCAGCAGCTGCTATTACCTCAGTGTGTACATGGATACGTGGCACGGAGCGACATTTACTTGCCAAACTATGAACGGCAGCCATCTTGCTACACCAGACAGAAAATGGAAGGACAGGCGGCTCAAGAAACTCCTTAGCATGGACATGGCTGGTAAGTAATTTTTTTCATCTTTTTTGTCCCACCTTCAAATCCCAGGATGCTAAGCTGTAGCCCGAGATTATTTTTCACATTACTTCAGGATTGGTCTGCAGGTTGTGGCATTTGATAAAATCTGTTGGTGTTTGGCAAGATTTGAGCCCGGGACTTAGAGGACCGAAGTCCTGTGCTCTACTAGACCAGCTTGCTCCTCCCAATGTATTATTGTTGGGGGAAAGGGTTTTAGTAGTAGAGCACAGAACTTTGGTCCCTGAGATCCCGGGTTAAAAATCTTGTTATCTAAGAGTTGATGCTGCAATCCCTAGGTCCAGCTTGAAGTAATATGAAAACCAATCCTGAGCTAGAACCTAGTATGAACAAAAAACCTATTGGTGAATGATAAGGCATAATTTTTTATCGATTCAGCCATGGTTTTGAAAGGTTCATTGTTGAAGCAGAGTAAAAAAAATTTATAGGAATTCTGGATAAGAAAGAAATAACTAAGGTTATGCAAGATTTGTGAAAGGAAATGTTGTGAGTTTGAGGTTAGGATGGATTGAAAATGACTTTTTGCCTTTAGCAAAATTCATTCTCGAGAAAAAAAATTGTCAATTTGAAGGCAAGAATTTCCCACAAAGGATACTGCAATGGACACTAGAATCATAATGCCAATTTATTCATTGACCCATTGAAACCCAAGCGGTTAATACTACATAATTGTCTTTAGCTGATCCACGAAGCTGGTAAATCTATCAGGAAGTATGTCTAGGTACAAACATAGGTCAAATAAATCCCATTAATGCTAACCTTGGGTGAGCCTTCGTGAGGGAATTGAGCAATTCACGATTATGGTGCTATCAATACATCTGAATTGTTTACGGAGGGAAAAGAATTACTATAATAACCAAACAATGATTGGATGATTGCAAATATGACATGAGAAACATGGATAAAATCACAAATGGTAATTGCAGATGTTGCAAGAATGTTAATGTTAAGTTGATAGGGATACAGCATATAAAGTAAACTGTTTATTCAAAGGTTGTATGAGGATTTTGTTGACAAAAATTAAAAAAAATAATTTATAGTTTTTTGAGTGAATTTCCCACATAACTATTACCTAAGGTCTCTCAGGGGAGGGGAGCGAGCTGGTCTATTGGTTAGAGCGCGGGACTCCGGTTCCTAGGGTCCCGGGTTCAAATCCCGCCAAATCACCAATGGATTTTATCGAAGTGATAATGCCGTAACCCTTAGGTCTAGCCTGAAGTAATGTGAAAAACAATTCTGGGCTCGTGCCTAGCGTCCTATGGCAAAAAAAAATGTCTCTCGGGTAAGACCTCGACCTGGGACCTATTTACTTTTTTGTTTTGATGTACACAGATGTCGAAACAATCGGTCCCGGGTCTAGATCTTGGCAACCTATAGTAATAGCTTTTCCCATATATGGGAAATTCGCTAAAATAACTAATTAAAAATGTTTAAACTTTTTTAACTACCTGATTTGGTAACAGGTACAGACAAAATGTTACTTCTTTTATAGAACAACCAATTGCTGAATCTTAAACAATTTAAATATACTATTTAGGTTCACTATTTAGTACCAAAGTATTGTTCATTTTTCTTTTACCGTCCATTTTAGTAATACAGCACGGTAATTTAAACGTGTTAAGTAAGCGAACTATTAATGTGGGCCAATGAAGGTGTACAAAGTGCAATGAACTCTGGGTTATATTTGCCACTTAACTAACACCTTCACAAAGAGAGTTTATCTGTTAGTAATTGTGCTCACCAGAAATTGGCTCTCGGCAAACAACACAGCCAAATATTGATAAGCTACTGAAGACAACTACATTGTCAGCTTACAAATCTATTCAACTATGTTTACTGTAGAAACGCAGTAGGATATTTATTGTTTAATCAGAGTATTATGATTTTTTTTGGGTTATGGTCGAATATATCTCCAATTGTAACTTACAAGAGGTTGTTAAAATACCCCTGTAGCTGTATTAAATTGGTGCATGGTTTTTTTTTTTTATTAATATCTAATCATGATGGTGCTGCTTGAAGGGGGAAAATATCTGATAAATTTAATATTTCTTAAATAGGTGGTTAGTATTTTGCAGTGTTAATTTTGTCATGAACTTTTTGTTGAGCAGTCAACTTTATTTTTACCCAGTGGTTTATTAGAGTTATTTAAAGTGCAAACTTTTCAGAAATATCATAAAAACATTATCTGACTATTTCTGTCAAGTGTATAATGGAATATACAATTTTGTTCTTCCTCAATTAATAGTAGGTATGAAATTTTTGAATACAATTTTTGAAAACCAATATTAATGAGTAGGCTAATATTAATATGGGTAAATAATAAAATATGACAAAAATATCACCACCGCAACAATCCTGCAGAAGCGAATTTCCATTTGCCCGATTGGATATATATACACTGAAACACTCTCTTAAACAAGTTAGATTTATTCCCTATTAAAATCAAATAACATCAAGTTTAGTGAGTACTTAGGTTTGCTGTAGTATTAAGGAATGTAATAAACTTAAATTTATTTTAGTAATGTTATAGCTTTGTATAAATTGAATAACTTTAAAACGTACATTTGATGGAAAAAAATATATCCATAAAAATACAGTACAAACTACGACAGTTTACCTATTATCCATAAAGATAACATAAGAATTGTAAATTTATAGTTTTTTTTTTTTTTTTTCTTTGTAGCCATTCTGCGTGCAAAAAGCTACAATGCACTAAATTATTAGTTTTTCTGAGCTCTACGAAATTGGTTCAGAATTAAAGCGTGATTATGTTTTACAGGTAAAAAATGGGAGAAACCAATTTTTACCCCAAAAAATTCTGTTTCCATATTCCAATAATATTGGTTCCCTAACTCGTTTGAATAACTTTTATACCAAATTTCATTGTGCTAACGTAATATCTAGGGACATCAAAACAAAAAGCAAAGCGGTCTCAGGTCTCGGTCCCACTATGAGACATATTGTATAGCATTTTCCCTATAGGGAAACTTCCAAAAAAAAATGTAACTGACAAAATCTTTTACTCGTAAATCTGCCCGAATTCTTTTATAAAATCCAATTCCTGGTGCACTCCGCATATTGTGTACATTTTGCGCTTTGACACGGAGACAATAGGATGTCCACCATTGGTCTGTGTTATAAATAGCCACTGGAGTCTGACTCGTAACTAACACTGGAGTACGAGATTGATGTAAGGAGTCTCGAAAGACTAACGACCACGGTGTGCAACATTTACCAGACTTACGGCTTTGATTCGCCTAGTTAACTATGTCGTCATTCATTGGCCACTTGAAAAATTCAGAGTATTTCAAATTAATCAACTTGTGTCGCTGGTGTTCGACTTGGGATTTACCACATAAATGTTTGGTAAACAAAAGAAAATAATTAAATTTAAGATTTAGAGAAGAGAGTAAAATTATTTAAATCCTGACAAAATATTTTTTATGAGGTTGGTAGCTTCTTTTACTCTTATATTTACTTGTCCACGTGGGCACGTCTGTGACGTGGGTCTTCAGTCAGTACGAGGAATATTTCAAGCAAAGCAAGGGCCAGGAATATAGGTCAGTAATGAACTCTTCTGATAAATAGTGGCAACACCAGGATTCTAACACAAAATAGCTATATTGGATTAAAAATTCATCAAGCTTAACTGAGCTACCAAACACCGATACTTCCTAGTATTCTGTATTCTTGTATTCTGATTTTTTATCAAATTCAGTATTTATATACACACAAAAGTAGGCTTTCACATTTGAACAGTAATTATTATTTTAAATATTAAAATTTCTACATCATTCTGTTTCTTCACTTTACATTCTAGAGGAAATGATTAACTTTACCAAATAAAATATATTTCTCTTTGGCAGTCTTTATAAAAAATCTTTTGGTTTTGTTTAAAATAACCTAGCATGGGTTTTCTCCATTTGTATTTTTTTAGGGATAAATTTTAGAAATTTTCAATGAAAGGTTGTTAAAATTTCAACCTGTTCAGCCTGTTTTGCAACAACATTATGTTATTTTATGTTTCATATCGATACAGTATAAAGATTAGTAGGAAACGATGGCTGAGGTTGAGGTTTTATTTTTTACAATTAAAATTTTGTCAACAATTTAGTGCTTACATTTTGTATTTTTTATACTCTTTAGTATAGTTATCCCAATTCAATTGGAATATTACTATTGGTTTTAAACTCTAACCTAATATTAATCAAGGACTGTACTTATGTCAATTTGAAATCAAGTACTGTCAAAAGTTAATTCAACGATATTCTTTTAATCTCAGTCCTTATTAAATTAAAACTTAAACGGTGTATGTAGGTAAATGGCTTTTTAAAAATACAAATATCTACTATACAAAGTTTCATTTACAACTACTGGTACAAATAAAATGTTTAGTAAATGTGTCTAAGCTTGCTTTTTTGTCAATGTTACAGCACGCCTAGAGAGGTGGATCGGAGGCATTTTCGACTGGGGCAGACACAAATGGGTGTGGGGAATCACAGGTCGACCAATCAAATACCAGGTACACTATACGTAACTCTCATTATAACCTTTTATGTACTGCCGTCACATCCTAGGGCTATCCCAGAACTGTTGTCACATTACTGCATGCTTAGCTCAGAGTTTTGCAACATTATCACTTAGAATCCATTGGTGATTGGCAGAATTTGAACCCGGGATCTCGGGGACTGAAGTCCCTCACTCTACCATTACATAGCCTTTGCTAACCCCTTGATGGTAAATAATGTCATTTGAAGACAAATCATCATTATCGTTAAATCACACAATATGCAAAAAAAAATTATTTCAAACAATCCCTTTTACAGAAAAATTATTTAATTTCCGAATATTTAAATGATAAGTAAATGTATTTTAGTTTAAGCTAGGCCTATGTACATTTTAGTTTTATTTTATAGTTTTTAAGATCTGACATTTTTAACTCTTTCACCAGCTAACGCTGGATTTATGAAATGTTTTTGTGATAATAAATTAATATTTTATTTCATTTAGACAGTGAAAATGTTTTGATATAAACAACGAAGTGTAGTATTTCCAATGAGACAGATTTATAGAAATCAACACTAAAATCCACTTCCTCCCTTCTGAATTTCATAACACCATAACTCTACAGGTAATTTTATTTACATGGACCCTTTGTCAAAGGTAACACTTGTAGATAATAATCGTTACAAATTATGGGTAAAATCTCAGTCACTGGGTATAACGGAATTTCGTAAAAGTAAAATCCTTACGAAACTAACTTCCTTACGTAAACTAGCTTCAATAGCTAGTTTGACTTTTGTTGTCATTACCAACTAATTTTTACTTCCAAAAACTCCAACTCAAAACTTGTTGATGTCTGTGGGATGTAGCCTGACATATAGTCTATGTTTTTGGATTCATAATCTACTTTTGTGTAAAATTTCAAACCAGTAGGTTCATTATTTTTGCACTCATCTCGGGATGGATAAAAAAACACACACACACACAACCTTTTTTTTAAATCAGACTCAAACTAATTAAATTTTTACTCCAGGGATTTTCTCGCCACTCAAAAACGGGGGACGAGTGGCACTGCATGGCTATGGATCCAGTCTACCTTTACCGCTGGAAATCAGAGAGCTGCCTCAATCGTAAACACTTCATCTGCGAGCTTCCCCTGCGCAACATTGGGGCAAAACCCACCGACATCTACCCTCGGAAACGCAAGGGCGGGAAACATCGGAGGAAACAGCGCAAGAAGATGAACAAGGAACCAAACAGCATTTTGTAAATAGACTAGAATGAAGAGCTTAACGGATAACCTTAACTTGAAAGATAAAAATACACTAGAGTCCTGCTAGTCCGAACCGCCTGTTAAAAAAGCCTGATTTGAACCTGGTAAAAGGTTCTAAGACCTTACAGTACATTAAAATTTATACTGTATTCTGAAATACAAACCAGGGTGTCCAACCGCCGTGAATTTTAAAGACCAGGGAAAATTCTGAGAATAGTAATCTACATAAATTGTGTATGGAATCAAGGAAATTTAGTAGAATTTCAAATAGCTTATAACCAATCGTCAATGAATTAACGACATACGATTGGTTCTCTTTTGACGTTGCCATGAAGTAAGAAGCATATATTACTGTGCAGGATGATCGCGGGAGATGAGTACGGTTTCTCCATGATCTTGAGAGCAATATTATGGCTATTTCAAGTCTTAAATATAAAATTTGGTTTTGTTATGCAATTTTACTGCTTTTTTAATAATTTTAATAATTTTGTAATGAGAGCAACAGTAAAGTAAATAAAAGATAGGTCTTCAAAAAAATACTTACACTTATTTTTTTATTCGCCTGTTGGGTCTGACGATGATTGGAGTGTCCAATCAAAATCGATCACCACTTACCATTTTTTATGTATATTTACCGTATTGTGAGTTAACAGTAAAAGCTTAAATATGTATTTTAAGTGTTATTAGACGTATCTTTTATTTACTTTCCGTAAATTTAGTAACACGTACAATGCTGATCAAGAAGTTATTTAATGAGTACAGTGTCCGGTCACTATTAAGATTAGCAGGACTATGGTGATTCTTATTAATAAGACCTCAAGATATGGACCTGTAATTTGTAGACCTTGTACTTTAATGTAATTTAATGAAATTAACTATAACATTTTTAACCACCCACCTTTATGTTTAGTTAGGTATAACTTAGGAAGTTGGATAGAATAGGTATTGAATAGATTTTTGTGATTTTATTAGTGTGATAAGAAAACTATTGCTTTATACTAATACCTGTAATTGTCAAAGAATAAGCTAAGCTAAGAGACCTTTGTTATGTTAACGGAATGCTTATTTTATTTTTTGAAAATTTAAACAGATCACTATTCAAAATTAATTTTAAAAATGAGGGCTGATAGAATGACATAATAAGAGAACATCTTCCATAACCTATGAACTTAAACATAGGAATTTAAAAACGTAGGCCTAACTAAAACTGTTTATAGTGAATACGGATATTGGTTGGGTAACATAAAATTTCGTTACCATATATACACTATAGTATTATCTGATATGTAAGTTATTATGACATAATAATAATAATATTAAACATTGTGTTCTCTGTGATTTTACTTGTTGTAAATTAGTTAGAAGCTATTATTAATATTTTTTCTATGGATTTCAAACTAAAAACAAATACTTCAATTTCTGTATATCAGAATATCACCTTACCATAGTAAGAAGGCTCAATAGAGTGACAGAAAGCTTTCTTAAGAAGTTACAATGACCTAACTCTTTAATTTAAATATTATTATTTTTTCTCAACGGTAGGCCTAAGTAGAAACTATAATGGAAAACTAGTAAAAGCTGTTTATTACAGGGGATCATATACTAAATTATTTATATTTTAGAAGTAAACGCACATAAGGTTCCAAATACTTTACTGCCAGTTAAACTATGTATAATATATTTTATCTTGATGAATGTATAATATGTGTCAAGTAAGTGTGTTTATGTATTTATATTTTGTAAATGTGTTTAGCTTAAGCTTTTTTGAGAAAAATACAAAGATTAAAATGAAAAGCTGTCTAACATATTAGGCTTGACTTTTCCCAAACTTGGCTTCACCAAACGGGCAGTTAAAACCCTTATTTAGTTGTCAGCTGGCTCAGCACTCGGTGTAATTTTCTGGTTAAATCATGCCAAAGTGTATAACTAAAAAAAACCCTCTTCCCTTATAAATCATTTTAAAACAAGTATTTGACATCCCATACCCATTTTAATGTAGGCAGTTTTAGAATTAAGATGTGGGTAGATGGCTTAACACGTTCAATGTGATTGCGAGATGGCCGGTTGCGGCCGGTGGCACGAATAGCTAATGCGCTGCATGGATGAATGCACGAAAACGTTAAATTTAGTTTCCTGCAAATGAGAGACATATACTGCGTCCCAATTGTTGAGGATGTAGTTTTACAAGAACCCAACAGATAGCAGCACTAAACAATACTACTAGCCAGTCCTCAGTACAGCAAAAAGCGATCAAGCACACTTTTCGAGGTTAGGTTCCTTCCACAATGCTACAGTAAATTCATTATTTTTATAATGCATGTCATTAGATCCAATCCTACGCCCCACACTACAGCAAATTTGTAACCATCTGATCTGAAAACGAATTATAACAGATTGAAGTACACTGGACTGGCACAATAAGCGGCGAACAAAACAAAGTCTGAACGTGTTAATCAACTACAGTATGTTCTATTTGAATGAAAAATTGATTGCAGCTGATCCATATAGATGGGATGTCTACCGTAGTATAAAGATCAATTTATACCAATGATGTAATTTGTTTAGATTTTCCATATCTATGCTGCATAGTGTCCACTATTACCCAAGTTCAAAGGTCTGACCTCATGTAGAAAAGTTGGAAGTTGTAGCACAGGTACAAACAAAAATTTAAGGGAGGACATTATTTTAAATTTATTTTAACAGAGTTCAGAACTTAATAGAACACACTCAGGAGATCCAGTAAATACTAAGCTGGATCCTAAAAAACTTAACCTAAAAATAACTAAAAGAGTTAGCCATCTACCAAAGGGTTAATCAGATGTTTAAATCTCCGCAACAGCAAAAAAGTTCGCGAAAAAAATTTCCACGAACAAATTCATGATTTTGCCCCGATCGCAAGAGACAAAGATGATGTCTTGGAAAACACAGAATGTTCACAATTTTATCGAGACCGAGAACAATATCGTTTATTTTCAACTTTGTTTTGTGTTCACTAGTTTGCCACAAAGTCACTTAACCTGGCTATAGCATGACAGTTATTATTTTAAAAATCAATACTTTGCAAAACCACAAATATTGGACCCGACCTGAATTAGGCGAGTCATAATTTTTTACCCAATCCAAAGTAAAACAGTTTAAGCCGCAGACCCCTAACATTATCATAAAAAATCAAACAAAATGGAATTATTATTTATTTTTAAATTAACAATATGTTGTTTTCTTTCTTTGAAAGGTAGGTTTGTACCTTTATTTTTTTTAAATCGCCTTCCACGACCAATTAGGCCGGCTTGCACCATGCTCTACTAATCACCGAACTAAAAGCCATGGTGGCGGCACACACGGAAAACTATTGCCAGAGTTCACTGACACCAAAACAGCCTTAAACTACAATCGCCTGGAGAGAAACTTCATGTAGCCATCTCTAACAGATTATAAAACTAAAAACCATTCGACCGTCAACCCTTAAAAATGTACAGTATAGTAAACATGTTAATCCTACCTTGATATATGTACACAGAGCGTCACCCTTAGGCAAGGAAGTCTCAGGATCCAGGTAAAGCTTAACTTTCATCTTCTTCGTTGTCTCGTCTCTCATCACCAAACCGCACTTCTGCATCACGTCGATAAACTCCTGCTCTGTGATGTCCAGTGGCAGTCCGCTGACGTAAACTTTGGTCGTCTCTTCTTCTTCTTCCTCAAACCAAGCTGCAAATCAGATAAATTAGTATCACTATTGATTTTAAGACAGCAACAACCTAGGTACATATGTGAACCATAATTTGAATACAAAATGAATGTAGAATGGGGTGACAACAGCTTTCTTACTGACTAAGATACTTCTATCCCTGGGACCATTTACGTATTTATTTTGGAAACTAAATCATGATCATCAAATGCTAGAATGAGCATTAAGTTTTATTTCTTACTAAAGCACTTACTGTAAATTACAGTATCAACTAGGAAATTATAACATAAAAGCAAGTATTTCATCAGGATTTAGAATTGAATTTTGGATACTGTATTCATCCCACCGATATGGACCAGCTGTCCCAAATTTGTTATTCTAATAGAACGTAGCTGAATGAGCCAGTCACATATACCAGAAAATTTCCCATATTAGTAAGAAGCAATTACCGTAGGTCTCATGGTAAGACCATCCCCATGTTAAAGTTGTCGCCAGTTTTAAAATCAAAATCATAGTAGTTGATGTGAGCCTCTGACAGATTGCGCTGATCTTAATTAGCCTACTAATACACATACGTTTTTCCAAATCAATACAATACAATACAATACAATATTCTTTATTGTTAATTCGTCAAGAATTACAATAGTGTCAATACAATAGTGAATTGTACATGTTAATTTTCATAAAATTCCTTTATTGAGTAGAAGGGTCTTGCGATTAGCCACTTCTTCAGCTCCTGGTGTAGCTTGTTGCCAGTCAGGTCTCTCAGGTAGTCAGGTAGATGGTTCCTCAGCTTGCAGCCGGTGTAGGAAGGTTTTTTCTCCCAAAGAGTTGTTCGGTGAACTGGTAGTGCAAATTTGGAGCCATGACGGGTGTTGTAGTGGTGCAGGTCTTGGTTTCTTGGGGGGTTTATTTCATTCACATACTTAATGGTTTCAAGTATGTAGAGAGACACCACTGTGAGGATTCCTAGGTTTACGAATGCTAGTCTGCAAGTCTGTGGTGGTACAAGGTTGGCGAGGGCTCTTATGGCTTTCTTTTGAAGGACAAGAATTCGATTCATATTTTTTGTTGAAGTTCCTCCCCACACTGTCAAGCCATATCTAAGATGCGACTCTACCAGTGCGAAGTAAGCTGTTTTGGCCACAGAGAGTCCGCCTATGTAGTTTATCCTTCTGACGACATATATTCCAGTACTGATTTTTTTGCTTAGGTGGTAGATGTGCTCTTTCCATGTCAGTTTGTTATCAAGGATAACACCGAGAAATTTTGTGTAGTTTTCTATTGTTACATCCTCTAATTGAGGGACTATGTCTTTTTTCTTACTGAAATTCAGAGTTGTAGTTTTTGTGGGATTTATTGCTAAGTCATTGTTCTTTGAGTAGAGGATAGCTTTATTTAAGATCGATTTTGAGTTAAGGTAAAGGCTTTGGGCTGTGTTGTCCTTGATCAAAATGGTTGTGTCATCTGCATACATGATTGCAACAGCATTTTCACTCTCAATTTGTTTGGGGAAGTCATTAGTCAATAAGATGAATAGAATCGGGCCTAATACAGAGCCTTGTGGAACTCCTCTTGTCAGCTTGCTTTTTGAAGATTTGAAACTTTCTGTGACTTCATTTGATGAGTTTTTCAGTTCCACGACTTGTGAACGTCCCGTTAGGTAGCTTTTGAACCATTCTAGCGCAGAGTTTCTTATACCGAGTCTTTCAAGTTTCTTGCCTATCAGGTCGTGGCCCAGGCAGTCAAAAGCCTTACTGTAATCAAGGAAGATGGCGGAAATGTATTGTTCGTTTTCTATCTGGTCTAGGACGTACTCAATTAGTGCTGTTATAGCTGAGGATGTAGATTTATTCTTCCGAAAGCCATGTTGGTTGTCAGTTAAGAGTTTGTTATGATTAAGATGTGCCATTAATCTAGCCAGAGCAATTTTTTCTATGATTTTAGAGAAACTGGAGATGAGAGAAATGGGCCTGTAGTTTTGAGCATTTTCAGTTGGTCCTTTTTTATGTTTGGGGTATATTTTACTGACTTTTATGGCGGATGGGAATTTGCCTTCTTTAAATGATTTATTTATAAGATAAACCAGAGGAGAGATGAGTTCTTGAGAGCAGTGCTTTATCATCTTAGAGGAAAACTCATCTATTCCACTTGATGTTTTGGCTTTTAGGGAGTTTATTATCGTTTTAACTTCTTTATAGGATGTTGAAGTTAGGGTAAGGTGTATTGGGCAGACTGGTTCCTCTCCACTCAGCACTGTTTCAGGGTCTATAACGATTGCTCTGTTTTGGTCAAGGGTATTTTCTGCTATATTTGAGAAGAATGTGTTGAAGTGTTCGGCCATTTCTTTTGTGTTGTTTGTGAGTTTGCCATTTATTTCTAATTCTGCAAGGGTTTTCTCTTCACATTTTCCTTTCCTTTCCTTGTTTATAACTTGCCATAGTGCTTTTGGTTTGTTGTCAGCTTGTTCTATGAAGCTAGCTGTTGAGGACATTTTTAGGTTTCTTAGTTTCATGTCGTATATCCTTTTTCTATTAATCATTTCTAATTTGTCTTCATTTCTGTTCGTTAACTCAAACTTTTGCAGAGCTTTCAAAAAGTTCTCTTTAAGGTATTTTGCTTCAGGATCGTAGTACTTCATATGTTTTTTGTTTTTAATAATTTTAGTTTTCTTTAATGGGCATGTATAATCCAGTGCTGTTTGAAGAATATTATGAAATTTGTTGTAGGAGGTTTCAAGATTGGGTGAAGAGTAAACATGTTCCCAATTTTGTAGATGGAGGTGGGCCTTCAGATTGTTTAGGTTTGTGTTGTTTAGGCTTCTTTGCATTACAAATCTTTGGGAAGTGTCTTCTTGGTGTGTTTTCAGCAGGCACAGCTGCGCAGTGTGGTCAGATAGACCAGTATGCACAACTTGTCCAGTAATGTACGCACATGGTATGTTTGAGCATATACAGTCTATTGAAGTGGCTGTGTCATGGGTTATTCTGGTGGCCTCTAGAGGAAATCTCCAGATGTTTTGTGTGGTTAACTCTTCTTCCAGCATGGTGTTTTTGGAATCTTGGGTGAGCCTGTCGATATTTATGACACCGATAAGTATTATGTTTTTCTTGTGTACTTCTTGTAGTTCTAGCGTGTCTGATAGGAGGTCAAGGGCAATTCTTGCATTTTCGATTGGTGGTCTATAGATTCCCAGAATGTAGATATCCTTTTTCTTTGTTGTCTGCATGCGAATCATTGCTGCTTCGAATATTAACTCCTGGCATGTGTTTGATATGTTAATAGCTGATACTGTATCAGCAAGGGATTCCTTGGAATATATTGCAACACCTCCAAGTTTATGTTCTTCTCTACTAAAGTGGGTAATTAAAGAGTAGCCGGGAATTTTTGTAGCTTCTAGCTCTGTTTTTTTCAGTCCGTGTTCAGTCAAGACTAGAATGCTTGGTTTCGTGTCATTGAGAATATGGTGTAGTCTGTTCGTCTTTGTAGCAAGTCCTCTAATATTTTGGTGCATTATTGCTACACAAGAATTATTTGGAGATTTGCAGATTTTTCTTTTGCTTTTTTCAGGCTGTTTGTTTCTAAAAAAGGGGTTATAGTATGGGGCACTGTAGAGTGATTAGATTGTTGACTTGAATTGGGTTCTTGCAGCTGCTCATGTTTCTGTTCTCCTTGAGAAGAGAGGCAGTCCATCTCGGTCATGTTTAGTCGCTTGGTGTGTGACAGAATATTCTTTTTATATAGGTCTATATTTTTCCAAAAGAAGTCTTCAATGGTCTCTCCCGGCTTAAGAAGCTTGGCGGTGATCGGGGGTTTCCCTGTGTTCTTTGGTTTAGTTGATTTGTTTGGGGGAGATATAGTGCCCTTGAAAGTAGAGCAAACTCCTTTTGGAATTTTGATGGCCTTGGGTTTTTTAATATTTTGTTTTTTTGTTTGTTGTGGTTGACTTTGGTGTTCTGGTGCTTCTTTCCTCAACTTGCTTTTTGCTATTTGCAAGGAAACACTGAAATGGGTTTTCTTAGTAGTTGCCAATTTGTTGTTATTATATGAAACTCGTCTTGGTGTGTTAATTGGCTTGCAAGGAGTCTCCTTTTTCTCAGTTATTAGTTGCTGGGAATCTTCTACTGTTATTTTATCTTCTAATTTCTTCATTTTTGACTCCATATTATTCTGTTTTTCTTTTAGGGCCTTTAGTTCAAGTAGAATTAGTGTTTCTGTGTTTGATGCTTCTGGATTTTTGTTGTCTGAAACTGTGGTTTTGTTTGTGAGGTCCTTCGCCTCTGTAGTGGTTGTCTGTGTGCTTGTCTCTCTGAATGATTTTGTAGATTCTTCTCCGGTGTTTATTCTGCTGCATGTATTTTTTTGCCTAAGGCATTTAATTTCATTCTCCATGTCCTTTATTTTTGTGTTGAAGCTATTAAAAGTTTCTTCCCTGTCTTTGTCATAATCTTCAAATGTTTTTGTGAGAGTGTTTCTCAGGCTTACTTCCTTTTCCAATTGGTGTTCTAGTTCAGTTATTGTTTCGATTAGGTCGTTGTTTCTAATTAGAATAGTATTTTTCTCATCTTCTAGTTGTTCAATTTGAGCGTGGTAGTTCATGATGTCGATGGTTTGTATGTTTGTTAGTTTCTGGGCCAGACTCGAGTTTTGTTGAGTCAGGTTGAGTATTTCTTCCATCAAACTGATGGAACGGTTTATTATGAGCTATAGCAACTGTTATGACCCATCAACTATATCAGCAACAAGAAATAAGGTAGAAAATAAATATTAGACACTAGAGCTTCTTCTGCCAATTATTTTTTTTGACAGGCTGGGCTCTCTGAAGCCGTTGCCATCTTTCTGCGACAATGTCACACTGTCACCCTTGGCCACAATTGGATTTCACAATTTGAGTAACTGTTGTCAATAAGGTGATAGGTAAAAGCAGACTTTTGTTCAACTTTTTTGGTACTGGTCAAAGTATTCTTCATACTGTATATTTTCGACTGTGCTGCCCACAATGCGCTTTGACAATTTTGCGCTTGCAAAAAAACTAGGCCTAGTCAGCTGATGGAAATTTTGGACTACAGACAGAGGTAAAATGGACTCTTTTGGTTTCTCAAAGAGGTATAATAAAAACTAAGCCTACCTGGTGTTTGAGGAGCTTTTCTTTTTTCAGCATCTTTCTTCTGCGGTTGCTCTTTCACTGGTTCCGGTTTTGGATCATTAGCATTAGGATCAACAAATCCATAACTCATTTGGTACTTAGCTAAGAAATCATCATCCACCTGAAAATATAAATGAATTTGTAAAAAATTACTGTGAAATATGAGCTGAGACTAACCGCTGTAAATTAAGTCTCCATTGAACTGTTGTCAAAGCCTATAACACTGGTTCAAATCTGATACCCAACACCAAGTTCCTTACTTTATTCACTACTTTTCTATTAGCAACCCACTCTTGTGCGACAATTAGTCTTGTCATAATAGCTTAAGATTATGTGAGGAGACATCTACACTTCTGCCAAGTATATATCGCATTCTGTCATTAGGTTTCTGTGAGATGAGACAAGGACAACCCCTATTTATATCCCTTTCCAGGTCACAGTCATGTTTGTACAAAAAAAAAGTGTTTGATCATAGAAAATGTGCTTTTATTTAGAATTTGTAGAAAGCCATAGACATAGACAATTAGAAAACGATGCCAGAAGCAGGTGTTATTTTTCACTAAGAAAATTACCCTTATCAGTTCGGCAATACTTTCAGTCTTGCAATCCGCATGTATTTTCCTTAGTTACTGCCTCGAACAAGATAACAGCAGCTGATCTACAAAGTTCAAAACATCCTAAACAATGTGCAAATGTAGACGACCACATCCAAACTAATTACACTTTTTACAATAGATTTCCACGTCCAAAAATTCTTGTATCACTCACGTCAAACGTCATAAATTTCTAATATTACTCGTATCTGTTAACTGACCATGGACTTCAAAAGCAAGTGGTGACTTGAGAGATCTAACTAAAGCCCCGTTCACACGGGGCGAGTTTACAAGCTACACGGATTTTTTACACGCAGCTCGTAAAGTAGCTCAGTGTGAACGACGTATTCGCTCAAAAGCTGCTTGTGAAAAATCCCTGGAAAAAGTTGACTCTGCGGCTACTTAACACGCCAACTCGCCAGCTGTTGAGCGAGTATGCGTGTAAAGTAGCCCAGTGTGAACACAGTTGCTTGTGCTTGTGCGCATGTTATTCAAAGATGTCGGAGGATTTGGTTCAAGCCAGCTACTGAGCAAGTGGAAAAAGCATCGTGTGAAAGACTACAAGCGCACTCGCCAACTCGCTGGCGTCTTTCTATACGTTGGCGAGTGGACAAGCTCCGTGTGAACAAATACAAGCGCACTCGCCAACTCACCGGCTTCTTACACACTGGTGAGTAGCTTGTAAACTCGCCCCGTGTGAACGAGGCTTAATGCAATACATACTTGGCTTAGCATGGATTTTCCTACAAATGGTTTTTGGCTTTTGTGATGATATTAATTGTTGTATAGTGATAGATACGGGGGGGGGGGGGGGATGAAATACAAAACAAGGGTGAAGGCAATGCTTTCAGAAAATACTTACTTGGCTACAATGGTAGCTCTATGGGGACCATAATTGACAGATAGCCCCCTTACGATAAAGAAACACTTCTGGCTATGTCAGGTTTTAGAAACGGTTCTCCTAGGAGGGAGAAAAGGCCACGACCAAAACACAGTTAGTGCCTATCCATAATAGAGGCATCAAAAGGACTTCAAGTTGTGAGCTGGCAAGAAGAGCATTGAATTGAAATTATAAGCATAGAAACGAGGCAAGCTATATAATTCTGCAATCAGTTAGTGAAATACTGCTAAGGGACATTGGCATAGTTGTTAGTATGGAAATTAATTAATCGAATTATTAAACAGATTTGTTGTCATGCTGCAGCAAAAATGGCTGTTTTCAGTAGGTGAATTGCAGAGCTAATGAAGTTATTCTTAATCCCTAAGTTATATTAAATAAGAATCTAGAAGGAAATGGAAACAATGACCCTTGTAGAGAAAGATTCGGAGTACAAAGAGAATTGACGAGAACGTTGGCGAGGCTAAGTACTAGCTTGGGTACAAGTGGCCATGGCAGTAAATGAGAATCAACTAGAGTCAAGAACATAAGCTGATTTTGTATATAGTAAGAATGAAATATAGTATAATAGTAAGAATCAACACATTATCATACATCAATACAATACATTTCTTGACACCAAAACGACAAATGTGACACCCCCCTGGGTTTTGGGGATGGGAGTGGCGCAGAACAGTCAGGCTTCGTTCGTCTCGGATGTATTTATTTACATTTCCACATATTTCATTATAATCAAGTTTTCACGTTTCATTCTAATTATTAGTTATATATTTTGAATAATTCATTTGAGACTTACAAACCCTGACTATTCAGATTCTTTGATACAAAAACAAATAAGAAACAACACAAAATGTTCAAGCTACTAATCGATCGATAGACTACTTACTTGTGGAAACCAAGCATTCTTTTCTTTGTCCCAAAAATATTTGGAGCCATCGGATGGATCTGTGTAAACATGAGTGTCATTTTCAAAACTGTAACTTCCTTGAGACATGTCTTTTGAGGTTATGTCATCTGGGTTTTTTCTTTTAGTGTCGTCTTCTTCTTCTTCTTCTCGTTTTTCACTAGACTCCTCTCTGTCATCAACACTGACATCCCACTCTTTTTTATCTTCATTCCACGTGTATTTTACATCTAAAAGATTTTTAAGTAACTTAGCTTACAGTGAATGAAAATTAATGTTGGGTGAACATCGATATATGACTCTATTGGTTAAAGACGGACCAAGGTACGTAACCTATTATATATTCAATAGTTTAGGTTTGATATATTACAATGGAGTTTTCAGATATAAAAGTTTTGCTGTCCGAAATGTTTACGGTAATAAAGAATTCAAATAGGCCTATAAAGTATCAAAGAATTATATGTTGCTGAAGTTAAATACATATTAAACAGTTAATTTGACAGGTTTTATCAAAATGATCTTAAAATAATAGCCTTCAATATCCATGCTATAGGTAACATGTAATGTTTATTTCATAGCGTTTCTCATACAACTTTTTCCTGAGGTACAGTTCCCAATGTATAGTAGGGCACAATTGTAACGGGAAATCGTAGAGCGTTCACTAAAAATTGTTTTTATTCCTCTTTCTCAGACGAACAAAATGCAATTCAAAATTCAATTTATGCAAATTGTAGTAGGACGCAGAATTTCTACGAACAGCGAGGGGAGGGCGGTATTCCCGGCCCGCCTGCATTGCCAAGCTCCCAACAATAGCGTTGTTGTGACAAGCAGGATTAGGACGGGTCCTCTCTACCTGCAGACATGGGACTTTAATTTTGTGTCCTACTACATCCTACACAGCAGTCATAAATTCTTTGAGACAGTAACGTGTATTATAAACTGACAACATGAGTGAGAAGATGTGTGTAGCTTTCTTACTGACTAGGGTCAGTTGTTTCATTAATTAGGATCATTTGATTAAAAATCCCAATGATCAAGGACAGCTGGGCCACGTTTCGGCCATCAAAAGCCTGACATATAAATTTTGATTACTTAACGAGGTATTGTACCATAATTATTAGTGTCAAAATCAAAAGCTATTATAATGTAGCAAGAGATGTTAACTTAATGAACTTAAAAGTGAATAGACTTACTTGTTTCTTTGTCAGTGTATGTGTATGTCTTGCCATCGTATTGATAATCTTTATCTGACAATGCATCAGGGGCATTTCTATCAACCCACTCCTGTTTGGCATCATCCCATGTGTACTGCAATTTTGATTCTGGGTCTGTATATATACAAACACCATTATCATAATGTAAATTCGCTTCATCCATTTCATTTTTTGGCACGTCTTTTACTTCAGGGGAGACATTGGTGGAGCTCTTATCTTCATTTTTGCTTTCACACACATCTTCAGCTGTACTAGTAGGTTTAGCTTCTTCACTTGGTGTTACTAGTTCACTTTCGACGGTAGGATTTTCGGAATCCATTGCTAGAACAATGCAGAATTCATGTAAATTAACTAGAAACATAAAAGAATAATTCTTAAGTTACTTCTACAATAGGTCTACAGCAGCATTTAATTAAAATGAATTGAAATACCACAAGGTAGTACCAAGTGTTTCCTAGCGTAGGAGGACTAACTTTTAGTAGCCTAGGTAAGCTTAGTAAAATCAATTTTTATGTTCCCTAAGTTAATAGATTTTTCCATGTTAACACTAGAACGGTATCGATCTTATGCATTATGACGCTAAGGGTATCCATACATAACTTTGACGTACTGATAGTTTTATAGAAATTATCATACAGTAAGGTATTGTCATACAGTGTGAGGCTAAGGGTATCAATACGTAAATTTGACGTACTGCTGGCCATTTTACTATACACAAAGGGTAATTGATATGTAAGTTTGACATACACGTTCCAAGAAACCAACTAGCAAGGACACAAAGAAACACACTATGACCCAAAAAAGGTAGCCGTCACATAGCAAATGAGTGCTGAGAGCACTGCTGGAAGGAGGGTAGCGTTGGTGGAGGGGGTGGGGAGTGAGATGCTAAAAATAAAACAACCTTTTAGTGCAAGTGTCGCTGCTCAGACTTGAACAGCCGATAAAAGCAGAGCGCTATTCTCTACCCCAGCATCGCTACTCTCATCGTTGCTATGATCGTTAATCGCAGCTCCGACATAAACACTTAAGGACTAGGCTCACTCTTTTACACTTCATATCAGATAACTTTGTAATGCATATTAGTTGGGTAGACTTTCATATGTTGTCAAAAACAACCGAATTAAAATATTGTATATTTCATTCGATAACTTATTGTTTGGTTAGTTAGGCTAACGTACCTAACCAAATAATATAACTTAGGCTATCAAATAAAATAATGGATAACTTACATAGAATAATCAATAAAATAATATTTAACTTATCAATATTTTCATTCGGTTGATTTTGACAACAGATATGAAAGTCTGAGTACCCTAATAGTTGACTGAAGACTTGTAGCCTACCGTTTAACTTTCACTAAGTTAAGTTACTTATTTGTTACAACTATTTACTATTTACTTCCATATCTGTTGGCACAAACAACCAAATGAGTGATATTGATTATTCAATTATTTAATTTGATATATCGTTTGGTTAGTTAGGTTAGGTTAACCTTACCTTAATCGATATATCATCGATATTTTCATTTGGTTGTTTGTGCCAACAGATATGGAAGTGAACCCATTTCTGTCATTTCAAGTTGTGAATGTTTTTCATTGTAAAGTGGCTAACTTATGCCGTTGGGAAATAAAATAAAATAATGTACCGTACTTTAGCTAAGCCAAGCCTTACTTGCCTAACCAGGATCTTAACTGCCTAAATCCAACTACCAGTAGGATTTACCTATCGGCAACTTACCATATTCTACTATAACAACAAAAGTAGGCTACTAGACTTGTGTGAACCTGGCAATAACTCCATCCATAAGTAGTGCGCGCGCCCGAAAAAATCTATTGCTGGCCGTTTTGCAGCAAAATACGGCCCCGTAACATATTACCGATGATGTCACCAGATAGAGGACACTTTAACGGACACAACAGTATCAATAACATGTACCTGGGGGATAAGAAAGGGGGGGTAAAGTCAGCAATAAGTAGAGCGCGCGCCCGGAAAAATTTATTGCGGACCGATTTGCGGCAAAATACGGCCGCGTAACATTAAACCGATGATGTCACCAGATAGAGGACACTTTAACGGACACGACAGTATCAATATCATGTACCTGGGGGATAAGAAAGGGGGGTTAAAGTCAGCAATAAGTAGAGCGCGCGCCCGGAAAAATCTATTGGGGGCCGATTTGCGGCAAAATACGGCCGCGTAACATTAAACCGTTGATGTCACCAGATAGAGGACACTTTAACGGACACGACAGTATCAATATCATGTACCTAGGGGATAAGAAAAGGGGGGAAAAGTCAGCAAAAAGTAGAGCGCGCGCCCGAAAAAATCTATTGCTGGCCGATTTGCGGCAAAATACGGCCGCGTAACATTAAACCGATGATGTCACCAGATAGAGGACACTTTAACGGACACGACAGTATCAATATCATGTACCTGGGGGATAAGAAAGGGGGGGTAAAGTCAGCAATAAGTAGTGCGCGCGCCCGAAAAAATCTATTGACGGCCGTTATTCGGCAAAATACGACCGCGTAACATGAAACCGATAATGTCATCAGATAGAGAAGACTTTAACGGACACGACAGTATCAATATCATGTACCTGGGGGATAAGAAAGGGGGGTTAAAGTCAGCAATAAGTAGAGCGCGCGCCCGGAAAAATCTATTGCGGGCCGATTTGCGGCAAAATACGGCCGCGTAACATTAAACCGATGATGTCACCAGATAGAGGACACTTTAACGGACACGACAGTATCAATATCATGTACCTAGGGGATAAGAAAAGGGGGGAAAAGTCAGCAAAAAGTAGAGCGCGCGCCCGAAAAAATCTATTGCTGGCCGATTTGCGGCAAAATACGGCCGCGTAACATGAAACCGATGATGTCACCAGATAGAGGACACTTTAACGGACACGACAGTATCAATATCATGTACCTAGGGGATAAGAAAAGGGGGGAAATGTCAGCAAAAAGTAGAGCGCGCGCCCGAAAAAATCTATTGCTGGCCGATTTGCGGCAAAATACGGCCGCGTAACATGAAACCGATGATGTCACCAGATAGAGGACACTTTAACGGACACGACAGTATCAATATTATGTACCTAGGGGATAAGAAAGGGGGGGGGGTAAAGTCAGCCATAAGTAGTGGGTGCGCCCGAAAAAATCTATTGCCGGCCATTTTCGGGTGCGCGCACTACTTACGGCTGACTTTACCCCCCCTTTCTTATCCCCCAGGTACATGTTATTGATACTGTCGTGTCCGTTAAAGTCTCCTCTACCTGGTGACATCATCGGTAATATGTTACGCGGCCGTATTTTGCCGCAAATCGGCCAGCAATAGATCTTTTCGGGCGCGCGCACTACTTATGGCTGACTTTACCCCCCCTTTCTTATCCCCCAGGTACATGTTATTGATACTGTCGTGTCCGTTAAAGTCTCCTCTACCTGGTGACATCATCGGTTTCATGTTACGCGGTCGTATTTTGCCGCAAAACGGCCGGCAATACATTTTTTCGGGCGCGCGCTCTACTTATTGCTGGTTTTACCCCCCCTTTCTTATCCCCCAGGTACATGATATTGATACTGTCGTGTCCGTTAAAGTCTCCTTTATCTGGTGACATCATCGGTTTCATGTTACGCGGCCGCATTTTGCCGCAAATCGGTCCGCAATAGATTTTTTCGGGCGCGCGCTCTACTTATTGCTGACTTTACCCTCCCTTTCTTATCCCCCAGGTACATGATATTGGTACTGTCGTGTCCGTTAAAGTGTCCTCTATCTTGTGACATCATCGGTATTATGTTACGCGGCCGTATTTCGCCGCAAATCGGCCAGCAATAGATTTTTCCGGGCGCGCGCTCTACTTATTGCTGACTTTACCCCCCCTTTCTTATCCCTCAGGTACATGTTATTGATACTGCCGTGTCCGTTAAAGTGTCCTCTATCTGGTGACATTATCGGTTTCATGTTACGCGGTCGTATTTTGCCGCAAAACGGCCAGCAATAGATTTTTTCGGGCGCGCGCTCTACTTAGTGCTGGTTTTACCCCCCTTTCTTATCCCCCAGGTACATGATATTGATACTGTCGTGTCCGTTAAAGTCTCCTCTATCTGATGACATTATCGGTTTCATGTTACGCGGTCGTATTTTGCCGAATAACGGCCGGCAATAGATTTTTTCGGGCGCGCGCACTATTTATTGCTGACTTTACCCCCCCTTTCTTATACCCCATGTACATGATATTGATACTGTCGTGTCCGTTAAAGTCTCCTCTATCTGATGACATTATCGGTTTCATGTTACGCGGTCGTATTTTGCCGCAAAACGGCCGGCAATAGATTTTTTCGGGCGCACCCACTACTTATGGCTGACTTTACCCCCCCCTTTCTTATCCCTCAGGTACATGTTATTGATACTGTCGTGTCCGTTAAAGTCTCCTCTATCTGGTGACATCATCGGTAATATGTTACGCGGCCGTATTTTGCTGCAAATCGGCCAGCAATAGATTTTTTCGGGCGCGCGCACTACTTTTGGCTGACTTTACCCCCCCTTTCTTATCCCCCAGGTACATGATATTGATACTGTCGTGTCCGTTAAAGTGTCCTCTATCTGGTGACATCATCGTTTTAATGTTACGCGGTCGTATTTTGCCGCAAATCGGCCAGCAATAGATTTTTCCGGGCGCGCGCTCTACTTATTGCTGACTTTACCCCCCCTTCTTATCCCTCAGGTACATGTTATTGATACTATCGTGTCCGTTAAAGTGTCCTCTATATGGTGACATTATCGGTTTCATGTTACGCGGCCGCATTTTGCCGCAAATCGGTCCGCAATAGATTTTTCCGGGCGCGCGCACTACTTATGGCTGGAGTTATTGCCAGGTTCACACCAATGGCAACTAGGCTTAAGTAGGCTACACCATCGAACTCTACATTTAATTACTAAATAGTAAATAGTGATCGATGGGCTACACTAGGACAAACTTCAGAATTAACCTAACATAATTAATTACTAACAATAACGAAAATGAAAGAATCCAAGTTGGTAAAGAAATTAAACACAAACAAATAAATTAGGCCTACCAATTACCTCCAATAAATCTCTTGAATCTCTCTTGAATCTCTTGAATCCAGCTGATGAGAAAACACAAACTCCAAAGCAACCTAACTTAAGCTCCCACGCCCATAATAATTTATGGATTTGTAATATAGCTCGTGAAATTAAACTTTTGCTTTAATTTATAGTTTATTAAAATGTATAAGGTAATTAGTACATTTTCTATAATATTGCGTTTTGATCGGTGAAACAGTTTTAACCTAACCTCTAATCTAAACAGAACGTCTTGTTTTGTTTTGTTTTCGTTTTCACTTGTTTTCTGTTTTGTTTCCAGTCAGTCCCAGTGTCGATTCCAATCCAATCCAATTCGGAATTCCAGTGTTATTTTTTCTTCTTTGCACTTTTTGTAGTCAGATCACTGGCAGTCAAAATCTAGTTTACATGAAACTTACAAATGCTTAGTAGACATTTTGTTCCCCATATATAAATGTTATTCTAGGAATTATTTTAGTCTATAGCTCTCGGTACCCTTGCACGGCCGCGGCCTTCGAAGTGGCAACGTCGCAAGTGGTGTTGTAACAGCTGTTTTGTTTGGAAGCAGCTAATGGTATTTGTGTATTTACGAAAGATTGGCTACTGGACTATGACAATAATTGACTCCAAATCAAATCAAATTATATTTATTCACTTTATACATTTTACATACATAATTGTGTACATACATAAGTGTCAACGCATACAAAATTGGTTATACAACTTAATCTAAAAGACTTAACATACAATTTGACAATTATTTTAGAATGTATAGCTAATTCATTTTTCATCTGTTATGAAACTGTCAAGGGTTGTCTCGGTGTACAACAAAGGGGACCAAGATTTGCCTAGCAGTTACATGTATTCCTAAGATTATGCTACATTGGCTAAGATTATGGGAAAATATAGTCAAAAACCATAAGTATGTAATTTTTTTAACATTTTAATCAAATCAAATCATTCTTTATTTTGTATTTTCATTAAGAATAATACAATGGCGTCAATAAAAATACAATAATATAACTTAAAACTAGTGGCTACAAGAGTTTTTTTGCTTAACAATATCATGAAAAATTTATTTCAAGTTAATGATTCAGGTCGGATTCAAGGAATTCCTTCAAGGAGTAGGCAGGTCTGTCTATCAGCCACTTGTGAAGTTGTGTTTTCAGCGGTTTTCCCTTCAGTGACTTCAGTGATGGTGGTAGGCTATTGTGGACTTTGCGGCCAGTGTAGGATGGTTTTCTGGCGTACTGCGTAGTATGATGTACTGGCAGAATGAAGTCGTTTCCTCGCCTGGTGTTGTAAGCGTGAAAATTTGCACTTTTTGGCAGATCAGACTCACTCACCAGAAGGACTACTGCTTTGATGTAAAGATTTACAACAGTTAGAATGCCAAGCGATCTGAAAGCTTCCCTGCAGCTGCCTGAGGGTTGAAGGTTGGCAAGTATACGTATGGCTTTTTTCTGCAGCTTCAATACTCTGTTAAGGTTGCTTTCAGTAGTCCCGCCCCAGACAACAAGACCATATTGTATATGCGACTCCAATGACTCCATTAAAGCATGGTACGCTGTTTTTGCTGATAATACGTCACCAATCCATCTAATTCTTCTCACCACGTATACACCAGTGAGAAGTTTCTTACAAAGATCATCGATGTGATTGTTCCAGGTAAGGCCAGTATCTAGTGTAATTCCTAGTAATTTGAAATTTTGTACAGTTTTCACATCTGTTAGGTCAGCTATTTGCTCTGTTTTACGGCTGAAATTAATTCGAACAGTTTTGTATGGTTGAGGGCCAGATCATTTTGTTTGCAGTAGATTTTTGCTCAGGTGAGTGTGGTGAGAGAGTCTGTGTTCACGAATATATAATCTGTTTAGTACCTGTTAATTTACTTATAGGTCAGGTCATTCATCAACTTTAGTTGTGGATCATATTGTAAATCATCTTTTTAATGCTTTAGAAGAGGTGCTTTGCTCAGATCACGTGATCTGAGCAAAGCATTTGACTGTGTTAATCATCTCAATCTTCTAAACAAATTAGCTCATTGTGGTTTTCAAGGCTGTGAATTATATTTATTGATGTCATATCTTAGTAATATAAGAAATTTTAAATCTCGTCCTGCAAGACGAGATTTTATTTTGACAGACATTACAGAAAATTAAAACGCCTGTTGAAAGTCAGTGCAATACCCGCAATACCGGAGCGCGTTGTAGTTGCGTTTCCTTTGCGAAGGCGTTCTTATTTCATTAATTCTTTACATGTAAATATTACTTAAATTGTTTGATATATTTTTTTAATTACAAATTATGAGAAGTTTTGATAAGAGTAAGCAGTGTGAGACATGTTTTACTACTGTAAACATAGCCAAAACAAGTAAGTATTTAATACAAATTGATATTGCTTTTATTTTACGAGCTGCATTTCAATAATACTTGTTATTTTAATATGTATAGTTAAATAGGTACAGGGTGTTTCAAAATTAATGACCCGGTTTTATCGCATTATAACTTTTATACTATTAAACTTACCGCTATAAAATATACACATCAAACGAAAAAGCAACTCAAAGAGTTTATGCCTTCCAAAGGCACATTATTTAACAAAATCGATCCAGCAGAACTGTAGATTTAATTGTACAAAGTTAAAAAGTAATCTCCAACTTTTTTACCACTAGAAATTTGGAGTTTGATTGACGTTTTTGCAAATAACTTTTAAATGGTGAGCAAATCGACCAAAGTTGAAGGTAATATCTTGTAATATTCTGAAAGAAAATAAAATTTCCTACAAACTTCAATACATAAAATACATAAGCTAAACAAAATAACGTAGCTTAGTGGCTTATTATATTTTGAGTTGAACGTAGAAACTAGTTTTATAATAATTTCAACAAACCTGGTGTTCAAAATCAAAAGAATAAACCCAATAATAAAGTATTTCAAAGTTGGTTCTCGCTTGAAAGTGCGCGCTTGTTCGCAGTATATAACCAGAAACCTTCCATTTACTTCCAAGTGGAGACCGATGGCTCCAGGTGTTCCGCGCAGGACAGACAATGTTCTGTCTATTAGCGCTCGCTGCCTGTTCACGTCGTCGCCGCTAGGCGTCGTGGGCATCGGCAGCGAGCGCTACTTGGCCCCACCCTTCACCTCGGAGCCCAACTTTGTTTCCACATTTTTATTTACTGTTTTCGTTTTTAAATACCAATGTAAATACTCGTGCAGGCTATGAACCAGCTACAACACTATAGAGAAACATTCTGAAGATGTAGGTGTAATATTCAATAGTTATATTTATTTTAGTTCCAACAAAGTACAGGGTTATAAAATGGTGTTCACGATTTTAAGCGTACATAAAATGTAGTTTATTTTTTTGTACAAAGAAATAAAATGGTTACAAAAAACTCAAAAAGTTTCGTCACATGTGAACAGAACCAGAAATGATGGGATCCCCTTGTGATACGACAGATGTCAATCGTGTAACCAAGCTCTTGCCATACTTTGACAAAAGTGTCTTGATCTATTGTTTCGATAGCATTCTGGTGATCCGTTGCTGGATCTCAGGTATGATAACTGGTAATAACGGTGTGTACACCTTATCTTTAATGTATCCCTACAAGATAAAGTCACAAGGGGTGATCGGTGATGTCTCAAAATTTTGGAGGCCAGTTCAGATCCAACACACAAACAGCTTTCATGTCTTCTAATTCAGCCATTACACTACAATTGACAGCAATAATTGACTTCACGAACAGCTGATATGCACCAAAACCAACGTGAATAAATCTGCATGAGTTTTTCTTCCCAATGGTACCAACTAATAGTCTTAAAACAAATTAACCCGGTTATATTTATAATCAAATTTTATTTATTTATTTATTTATAATCAAAACTAATTAAATTAATTAATTAGTAATAGTCCTGTTTAAATTCTAATATGAAGCACTTAGTTTTATGATTTATCCTTATTTAGGAATATATATATTTAATTTGTGATGTAATAAAACATCGTGTATACAACACATCTATTGATCTATATTTTAAATATTTGTTACATGTAGCCAGGCCGTCCATAATCAACGATGTCATCACTCGAAAGTTCAGGAATCTGAAGTTGGTATGACAAAATTGTTATCATATGTTAAGCCAGAGTCAGTTATCGATGGTTCCACAGACATTTCAGTATTTCCAGAATCTATAGTTGAAAATTTACAACTTATATGAGCAGGTTGAATTCAACTTAATCAATATGAAAAGAGTTTGATCAATTGAGTGTAAATCAATTGATTTGTTGATTATCGTCGATTGATATCTGAAAGTTGAAAGTTGTATACATCGATATAAACACAATTATGATATTGTGTTTATATATCGATGGTTGTATATACTCTAAGTCATAAGACTATGTTGGAAGTGAAAATCCAATGCTACGATGTTGTTGTGAAGTATAATTGTCGTAAAGTATAATATTTTCTTGTGCGATTCAATTTTTGATTCCTGTGGGTATTAAAAGCAGAATGCAAATGTGTTCAAAATTCTATGGTGATAAATATATTCCCTTGCAGATTTATGATCCATATTGAACACCTTAAAACAACTTTTCGTTCCGTTTATGTATAGGGTGTTTTCTTTACTATTTATTTTGCTTAACACCATATATTTCGGTATACAGTATATTATATTTCCGTTAACCCAAATTTAAACAAAAAAATCCAAGCATAACCAGCCAGTTTTATGCATGGAGTCGCGTTTGTAGTTCTATTTGTGAGGACTGAGGGGAGCATTTATCCCGAATTCAAACTAGTTGTTAAATTCGGGTCGCTGAAGCAACGCGTCGGTCTTGAACAAAATGTCGGTGTCGGCGACAGTTTGTTTGTGACTCGTCGTCAAGGAGTGTTGCTTGGCACAAATATAACAAAATACATTGAATCCAAATGGTATGTTTAAGTCGGTAACAAATATACACAGATAATCTCATTCCATTCTACAATCTTCACTCATCCTTCACTCGTATTTTGGTATTACTGTATTGGTCGTTTATAATTATACCTCCGCCACAGCAAACCTTAGACTAAGCGAATTTCCATTTACAAGTTTTGAATTTTAAGCATCGATGTATAATAGGCCTAACTTGAGTTATTATACATCGATGATTTTAAATTAAATCTATTTAAGTAACATTTTAACAAGTAGGCCTACCTATGTTTACTACTACAGGGAAGGTAATAAAGTGTGTTTATTG